TCATCAGAGAAATGCAGATTAAAACCACAATGAGATACCCCCTCACACCTGTCAGAATGACTGTTGTGAATACATCAACAAACAAGTGTTGGTGAGGATGTGGAGAAAAGGGAACCCTCATGCATTGGTGGGAATGCAGATTGATGCAGATGCTGTGGAAAGCAGTATGGAGTTGCCTCAAAAAATTGAAAGTGTAACTGCCGTATTACCCAGTGACTACACTTTTGGGAATTTATCCGAAGAAAACCAAAACACAGATTTGAAAGAATATATGTATCCCTATGTTCATTCAATGTTATTTACAATAGCCAAGATTTGGAAGCAGTCCAAGTGTCCATCAGTAGATGAATGGATAAAAAAGCTGTGGTACATGTACACAACAGAATACTATTCAGTGGTACAAAAGAAGGAAATCTTAACATTTGCAACAGCATGGATGGACTTGGAGAGCATTATGCTAAGTGAAATAAGACACTTAGAGAAAGATAAGTACCATATGATTTCATTCATATGTGGAATCTAGTTAACTAACAAGCAAAATAGTGACATACTTATAGATAGAGAGAAGGCCAACAGCCGAGGGGTGGGCAGGAGTTGAGCAAAAAAGAAAAAAACCTCATGGACAGGGACAGCAGTGTGGTGACTGCCAGGTTTGGGGGTGGGGGAGAGGTGGAGGAGAGTTTGGGGGGATAACTGGTGATGGATGGAGACTTGACTTGGGGTGGTGAACACAAAATGCAGTGTACAGATGATATGTTATAGAATTGTGCACCTGAAACCTGTATAATTTTGTTAACCAGTGTGACCCTAATAAATTAAATATATGTATAAAAATATATATATACCAAGTTCTTATTTAAACATGGGTCTATTTCTGGACCTTTCCATTTTCTGTTAAACTGTTTGTTGTTGGGTTTTTTGCTTGTTCTGTACCACACTTTAAAACAATTATTGCATCCCCTTGTTAAAAATGAAATATTTCAGGCATTGAAAAAACTATGGAGATTATATAATGCATATTTGAGTACCAAATATCAAGCTTGTCACATCTTCACATTTTGCTGTTATAGATTTAGACCATTTTTCTTTTATCTTTTTACCGAGTTGTAATTGCTATACCACAAAATTTAAAATTTTACCCTTTATTTATTTATTTTTATTAATTTTTTTCTTTCTTTATTTTTAGAGGGAGAGGGAGGACGAGATAGAAACATTCATGAGAGAGAACATCAACTGGCCGCCTCCTGCATGCCCCCCACTGGGGATCATGCCCACAACCCAGGCATGTGCCCTGGCCCGGAATCAAACCAGTGACCTCTTGGTGCATGGGTCGACGCTCAACCACTGAGTCACACCAGCCGGGCAAAATTGTACCCTTTAAAAGTATACAATTCAGTGCATTTTAGTAACTAAATTTTGCAACTATTAACCACTATTTAATTTCATAATATTGTCATCATCCCTAAAAGAAATACTACACCCATTTGGTCTCTCCACATTCTTCCCCACCCCCACTCCTGACCCATCCCCTGGCAACCACTATTCTACTTCCTGCCTCTTGGAATTGCCTTCTCTGGACATGTAAATGGAATTGTACAGTATGTGGCCTTTTGTATCTGGCTTCTTTCATTTAACATGTGTTCAACATTTATCCATATTGTAGTATGTATCAGTACTTCATCCTTCTTTGTGGCTGAATAATATAGATTGTATAGCTATACCACATTTTGTTTATCCATGTATCAACTGATGAACATTTACGATGTTTCCACTTTTTGGCTATTATGAATAAAGCTGCTGTGAACATTCACATATAAAAATTTTTGTAGCCCTGGCCAGTTTGGCTCAGCGGTAGAGCGTTGACCCATGGACTAAGGAGTTGCGTGCGGGTTTAACTCCTGTCAAGGGTACGTACCTCAGTTGCAGTTCAGTCCCCGGCCCTGGTTGGGATTGTGCGGGGGGCAGCCAATTGATGTATTTTGCATCAATGCTTATCTCCTTCCCCCCCCACCCACCCTCTACTCTATCTGAAGATAAAAATGGAAGAAAATATCATTGGATGAGGATTAAAAAAAATTTTTTTTCTGGACATACTTTCAGTTCTCTTTAATATATACCCAGGAAGGGTACTGCTGAGTCATGTGATAACTATGTTTAACTTTTTGAATTAAAAAAATTTTTTTAAATTTATTGGATTGATTTTTAGAGAGGAAGGGAGAGGGAGAGAGAGATAGAAACAATGAGAGAGATCATCTCAATCAGCTGCCTCCTGCATGCCCCCCACTGGGGATTGGGCCCACAGCCCTGGGCAAGTGTCCCGACTGGGAATCAAACCAGCAGCCTCTCAGTGCATGGGTCAACATTCAACCACTGAGCCACACCGGCTGGGCTTTTTTTTTAATCTTCATCCCAGGATATTTTTCTATAATATTCAGATTGAGTGGGAGGAAGGGGGGGAGAGAGGAAAATCGATGTGAGAGGGACACATCGACTGGCTGCCTCCCGCACAACCCTGACCAGGGCCAGGGATGAACTGCAACCGAGGCATATACCCTTGCGCAGAACTGAACCCTAGACTCATTGGTCCGCAGGTTGACACTCTAACCGCTGACCCAAACCGGCCAGGGCTCTATGTTTAACTTTTTGAGAAACTGCCAAACTGTCTTCCAAAACAGCTATAACAATTTCCATTCCCACTAGCAACATATGAGGGTTCCAATTTCTCCACATCCTTGCCAATACTTATTATTCTCCATTTAAAAAATTATACTCGCCCTGGCCGGTTTGGCTCAGTGGTTAGAGCGTCGGCCTGCGGTACAGAGACCTGGGTTTGGTTCCCGCTAAAGGCGCGTACCTTGGTTGCAGTTTGTCCCCTGCCCTGGTTGGTCGTGCGGGTGGCAGCCACTCGATGTGTCCCTTCACATCGATGTTTCTCTCTCTCTCTCTTCCTCTCTCTCCCTCCTGCTCTATCTGAACAAAAAATGGAGAAATGTCCTCGGGTGAGGATAAAAAAAAAAAAATTATACTCATCCTAGTGAGTATGAAGTGGTGTCTCATTGCGGTTTTGATTTTTATTTTCATTAACCTAAGGACTAAAGATGTTAAACCTCTTTTCTTCTTTGAAGAAATGTCAACTCAGGTCATTTGTTGTTTTTTTTTAGTAGCAGCTTTATTGAAATAAAATTGAAATACCATGCAGTTCACCCATTTAAAGTGTAGAATTCAGAGGTTTTTGTTTTGACATATTTGTATTAAAAATTATCTATGGTTCTTTCATATTAACTGCCATTACACGAATCAAGCGCACTTTATTCATTCTTTTATTAATGGACAAATGTTTGTTCCAAGTTAACATTGTGTCTGTTGCGTGTTGTGAGGATTCTTTAGGATATATGCTTAAGAATGGAATTGCTGGGTCATGACACATGCTGAGCAAAATGGAGGTAGAAGCTTTTTTATCTGCTTTTTTTCTTATTTGGCAGCAGTGTGAACTGTACAGGACTAATCTTTTGTTGAAGGTTAGGAGAACTCATTGTGAGACGTACTTCACTTCTTTTAATGCTCACTGTTTCTTATATCAACCAACCCCTTTTGTCTGAGTTGTTTCTTCTTTCTAAATCAAAGTTATTTTTTCTCTCTGGTAATTTGTAGGTTTTATTGCTCATTCTTGAGGTTCTGTATTTTCATTACTGTATACCTAAGAATAGGTTTATTTTTTTATTGTTAGTTTTCAAGGTGGTCTTTCACTCAGAAGGCCTATGTCTTTTTTCGTTTCTGGAAAATCGTAAGCCATTATTGTTGTTGTTATTATTTTGTTAATCCTTGAGGATATTTTTTCCATTAATTTTTAGATAGAGTGTGAGGGAGGGAGGAATAGAGAGAGAAACATTGATGTGAGAGAGACACATCGAATGGCTGCCTCCTGTACTACCCTCACCAGGGCCAGAGAGTGAACTAGCAACCCAGGTACTTGCCCCTGACTGGGAATCAAACCCATGACCCTTTGATCCACAGGCTGATGCTCTAACCACTGATACAAACCACTCAGGGCAAGCGATTCTTTTTTTGAATATCCAGTATCCATTAGTTGAAATATCTTGATCACTTCTCTCTTTCTCTTAACGGTTCCTTCTTTCTTTTCATCTCTGCCTCAGTGTTGTGGATGCAGGGTCCTAGCTTTCACTTCATAAGTTATGTCTAACTTTTCCAATCTGGGGTTTAGCTCTTGTTTTTCTCAGTCTCCTTGCAGGTTTGGACAGAACTGCTCCTTTTGTTGCAGACTTTTCAGTGATGCTGTAGAGGGCTGGGATTTCCTGCTGGAGGTGTTATTTTAGTGGAGGATGACCTTTGGCTGTACATTTCCCCCTTTCCTCCCTGGTGTTGAGCCATCTGTAAGACTGCTCCTACTCTTGTTCTTACCTGGGGTTAGACCTTCTTGTCATTACTGCTGGGCCCACAGGTAACATATTCTCTGGCATCCTCTTGCCTGGCTGGTCCTCGAGCATTCTAGATGTTGCTTCTCTCTCAGCAGAGTTCTCCAGCCTGAGACCTTACATGGGGGCTTCTCCTTCTGGTTTCCTGACTGTTCTCCCATATGTCAGGTATTCTGTGTAATTCCTGTTCCATTGAACTTTCTCACTCATGTCTTTGATACAGCTTTAAAAAATCAATCTATTGATCTGTCTTTTTTGTGTATCTGCCTTTCTTTTCAAGATAAATCTTTTCTGTCCTTTTAGTGAAACTTAGGAGGGAAGCAAAGTGGCCCACAATTTTGATCCATCTGTGAGTGAATGTGACCTGGATTTGAAACTGTTATGTGGTGGGTGGGAAAGGGTTTCACAGATGCATATGAGTGTGACCTTGACTGCTATCATGCTCCTCACAAGTTGTAATTTCTTCCCACATGAATTGGTTATACTTCTTTCCCAAGGCCTTTCTTTGAAAATACTGCCTATGCTCATATAGGTCCTCCATAATGTGAATTTATGTTTTCTTCCCAGTGCTGTATTAAATGAGAACAATGTGCCCCTCCCTGAAGATTCCCTTGCTCCACTGCATACCACACCTACAGGAAATGGTTCTATTCTAAAGGTAACAATACTTGTACTTTTTCAGAGGTTTCCCTAAAGACCATACTGAGTTGAATCCTGTAGTACAACCATACACATCTGGTGATTTCTTATGCACACCAGAACTTAGGCTATGAGAAAAGCATTGAGCCTGAGTTCTCTAGGGAGAGTCCCATTGTCAAATCCCTCACAAGAGGATCTCAGGGATTTTTCTCTAGTTTTTGTGTTATCTGTTGGTATTGTGATTTTGGGTGGTCTTTGTACTTTTGTTTTTTGTTTTTGGGTGCTGACTATGCTTCCATAATGTCTCAACCTGTACATGGCACATAGCAGGCACTAATGGAAATAAACTTTCTGAAATAACAGCAACCTGTCATTGTGTTGCAGTATGACCAGCTCATCACAGTTCTTGCCTTCCCTGTATCCACTTGCCACACCCTCACCAGTTTAGAAATCATAGAAACCCAGTTCATTGCCCAGTGAATGTTTTAATTTGCAAGGTAAAAGAAAAATTATTCTCGCAAATAACATTGACCATTTTGTTCTTTTATTGCAGAAGCGCATTTATTGTAGAAATTTATCAACTATTTCAAAAAAGAAAAATTAGCACATGTATTCCCACTACCCAAAAACAGTCTAGTTAATATTTAGGTGTATACTTTTTCAGACTTTGGGGTTAAAAAAGACAAATAACCAGGAGCTTCCTTTCTGCTAATTAAAATTCCAAAAAGATATATTGACACCTTTGACTGATCATTGAAAATTGTTAAGTGGAGCCCTGGCCATTGTGGCTCAGTAGTTAGAGCATTGGCCCACTTACTGAAGGGTCTCAAGTTTGATTTCCCATCAGAGGCACATACCTGGGTTGTAGGTTCTGATCCTCAGCCCCAGTTGGGGCACATATGGGAAGCAACCAATCGATGGGTCTCTCTCTCATCGATGTTTCTCTCTCTTTCCCTCCCTCCCTCTCTCCCTCCCCTCCACTATATCTAAAATCAATAAGAAAATATCCTCTGGTGAGGATGAACAAAAAAAGAAAATGGTTAAGTGGAACCTGAGATGTTTTGGAGCAGAGGACATTTACTTCAAAGATTTATTGCATATATAATATATACTAGACAGCATGCTAGACTTTGGAAATTAAAATTGATTGAAATATAGTTTATTCTTTTACACTGCTTATAGTTCACTGGGAAAGAGAATTTTAATACATTGTGATAGAGATATCCTCAAGCTGTTTTGGGACACTCACCCAAGCCTTAGGGTGGGATGGCGGGATGGGAGGAAGGAGACGTAAGAAGAGAGAGAACAATTTTTTCATGTGTGTGATTAAAATTGGCCTGAAAGCAGGTAGATAGAAATAGAATTGTATAAATGAAGGTTCCTTTTTTGTTATATACTACACGTTAGATACTTAGTTATCTTATTTCCTGATTGGAATTTTATTAAATACTTTTAAAGTTCTTCCTATGCCCTGGACAGTTTGGCTTAGTAGTTAGAGCATTGGCCTGCGGACCAGAAAGACCCGGGTTCGGTTTCCACTAAGGGCACGTGCCTTGGTTGTAGTTTGTCCCCAGCCCCGGCCCCAGTTGGGGTTGTGTGGGTGGCAACTAGTCGATGTGTCTCTCTCATATTGATGTTTCTCTCTCTCTCTCTCCCTCCCTTTCTCCCTCCCATTATATCTGAAGATAAATGCAAAAATGTCCTCGGGTGAAGATAAAAAAATAAATAAATAAAGTTCTTTCTATCCCTACAAACACATACACACACACACACATATGCATGTGCATATACACACACACACACACATGCACAAACATATACTCCACAATACAGAACTGTGTATTCCATAAAGTGCTTCAAATACTAATTGCACCAAAAGTTAATTAACATTTATGGGGAGAAGTTTATATTGCCCTCTTTTGCAAACAGTGAAGCTTCTATAGATCTGGATAAAGAATAATTTGGAATCCAGGCATCTCCTTTACTTACCTGTCTTTTGTGCTGAACTTTCTACCCTTCTCTTCTTTTTTTTTTTTTTTTTAATCCTCACCCGAGGATATTTTTCCATTTTTTGTACAGATAGAGTGGGAGGGAGAGAGAGGAAGGGAGAGAGAGTGAGAAACATCGACGTGAAGGGACACATCGAGTGGCTGCCACCCGCACGACCAACCAGGGCCGGGGACAAACTGCAACCGAAGTACGTGCCCTTAGCGGGAACCGAACCCAGGTCTCTCCGGACCGCAGGCCGACACTCTAACCGCTGAGCCAAACTGGCCAGGGCCCTTTCTCTTCTAATCTAAGAGCCAGAACAGCCCTGGCCGGTGTGGCTCAGTTGTTAGAGTGTCCTGTGCACTAAGGGTTGTGGGTGTGATTCCTGGTCAGGGCATATACCCAGGTTGTGGATTCAGTCCCAGTCGGGGTGTGTGTGTGAGGCAACTGATCCATGTTTCTCACATCAATGTTTCTCTCCCTCCCTCTCTTCCTCCCCCTCCTCTTCCTCTCCCTCTCCCTTTTCCTCTCATTGTCCTTTCCTCTTTCTCTAGAGTCAATGAAAAATATATCCTCTGGTGAGGATTAAAAAGAAAAAAAGAGTTGGACATTCTTAACTCTACCCAAGTTTTGTCTCACCAGAAGGAATAGCTATCTGCAAATTGACATAACACCTATCTTTTTAAAGTTCTGATTATAGTCTAGGTTCCCCTTCAAGCAAAAGTGGAATCACTAATAACCATGATTCCTAAATGTCTCTGTTTGTTTAAAGGTTACCACCAATCAGGTCTGGGTCAGAATTATAAATTAAGAGGATATGGAAGAAAATTAGTCTGATGATTTGATTAGTGGGTCATTTAACAACTATATATATTTTGTCTCCATAGGATGCTACAAATGAATTGGATGTCTTGCTTTTATCTCTAACTGAGAATCTAATTGACCACACAGTCACTCCTCAGGTAAATATGCCTTAAAACAGCAAGATGGAAAGGAATTTTTGTTTTGAAAATGTTGCTGCTGGATTCCAATTTTTGCCTTTTTAACAATTTAGTAAAACTTCACATCTAATAAGAGTTCATATTTCAGTAACCACTTAGCATTGCCTTTTCTGTACTATAAAATTCTACCAGTTTGAATGTGGGTGTCACTGTACAGTGTGTCACTACTATAAGCCTATTTGTAATTCAGCACCATACTACAAATAACACAGAAGAAACATGTGGTGATAAACTAGCTTCAAAAGAGCTAAGACAACAAGGATATATTTTAATTTTTTTTTTTTTTAATTTACAGAAAAGTGGGAACATAAGAATGAGTGGCACTGAAAACACTTATCCTTATTGCAGTCTGGGAGATACTGTGTTAAGCATTATGACCATACTACAATAGTTCCTTCCCTCCAGAGACTTACAGCCTAGTTGGGTGGAAGGTATACAGATAGCTCATTTAGTGCCTTATGAGTAAAGTGACAGGAATTGCTGTGTGAACTAACTATCATTCCAAAGGCTTGGAAGTATGAATGGTACTCTCTGTGGTGCTGGATGTTTGCTTAGATAATTAGTTCCCAAACTTGGGTATGTAACAGAATGACCTGCAGCAATTAAAACAGTTTGTAAGGCCCTGGCCGGTTTGGCTCAGCGGTTTAGAGCGTCGGCCTGCGGTCCGGAGAGACCTGGGTTCGGTTCCCGCTAAGGGCATGTGCCTCGGTTGCAGTTTGTCCCCGGCCCTGGTTGGTCGTGCGGGTGGCAGCCACTCGATGTGTCCTTTCACATCGATGTTTCTCTCTCTCCCTCCTGCTCTATCTGAACAAAGAATGAAAAAGTGTCCTCGGGTGAGGATAAAAAACAAACAAACAAACAAACAAAATAAAACAGTTTGTAAGACTCCACCCTCAAAGTTTCTGATTTGGTAAATGTGGGGTGGGCCTGAGAAATTTTCTGTTTTTCTCTGTTAGCTATAATTTTATTATATCTTTCACATTTAGATTTTAACTCATTTGAACAGTTTGAGTTTTGTGGGAGAGGAGATGTCAATTGTGGTTTTGATATTACCCAATTATGTATTTCATCCTTATAAAAAGCCAATTTTCTGATTATTTTCTATTAAATAATTCATCGTTTTCCAATTGGTTTGTTACTAATCTTCCTGTTGTGTTTCATTGGATTCTCTCTTTTTTTTGTTGTTTAGTTTTTTGTTTTGCCAATCCTCACCCAAGGATGTTTTTCCATTGATTTTTAGACATAGTAGAAGGGAGGGAGGGAGCGAGGGAGAGAGCGAGAGAAACATTGATGTAAGAGAGACATGTAGACTGGTTGCCTCCTGCATGGCACCGACTGGGGCGGGGATCGAACCTGCAACCCAGGTATTTGAACCTTTGGTCAGCGGGCCAACACTCTAAATGCTGAGACAAACCGGCCAGGGCATAGTTTAATTTTTTTATTGTGGTAAAATTGGTATACAAGATTATATATATTTCAAGTATACAACATTATAATTCAATATTTATATACAGTACCCCCCTCCTTATCTGAAGTTTTAGTTGTCCACAGTTTTGGTTACCAACAGTCAACCATGATCCAAAAATATTAAATGGAAAATTCTAGAAAATAAACAATTCATAAATTTGAAATTATATGTCATTTTGAGTAGCATGATGAAGTCTTGTGCCATCTCTTTCCGTCTGCCTGGGATGTGAATCATTTTTATCCAGCGTGTTCATTCACACAGTTGCTGTATTTCATTGATTGTGTTCAAGTTAACCATTGGGCCCTCTCTTTTCTTGCTCTAGGACTGTTGTGTTTTTATTTTTCTGGCTTTGTAATCTATTCTAACATTTAGTATATTTTATAAATGTTAGCATCAGTATATCAGATTTCTCCCCAAAATCTGCCTGTACTTAATTGGAGTCTGTATGAAATTTATAGATTATTTGAAGAAAACTGGCATTTAAAAAATATCTTTTCCTTTTCACAAACTTGATATATATCTCTAATTTCTCATCTTTATTTAAGTCGCTAAATGTTTTCTCTGTCTCCTATATTCTTTGTTAGGTTAAATCCTAAATACTTGGTAGTTTTATTGATATTGTGAATGGTATTTAATTTATTATTATTGAATTAATAAGTTGATTTTGTGTCTAGAAAACTTGCTAGTCAATCTGCTGATTTCCTTGAATGTTCATTCAGTTTCTAGGGTGTGTTTAATATCCGTCTACAATTATTTATTATTTTTAATACTCACCCGAGGATACTTTTTTCCATTTATCTTCAGATAGAGTGGGAGGGAGTGAGGGAGAGAGAGAGAGAGAGAGAAAGAGAAACAGAAACTTTGATATGAAAGACATACTGATTGATTGCCTCCTACATGACCCCGACCAGGGCCACTGACCAAACCACAAGCGAGGTTTGTGCCCTTGACCAGGATCGAACCCTAGACTCTTTGGTCCACAGGCCACTGAGCCAAACTGGCTAGGGCTGTATCTGTGCTTTTTAAATGGACCTTTTGTGAACAACATTTTGTTGGATCTTGTTTTTTAAAATTTGAGAGTCTTTATGATTGAGTTTAATCTTTTTATATTTACTATAAGTTTGATAATTACAGAATTTGTTTCATCTGAACCATTTTTTGTTTACTTTTACCATATTTTCTTGTCTCTCTCTCTCTCTCTTTCCCAACCCCATAACCCTCTCATTTCCTAAGGTAAAATTCAATTTTCCTAATATTGGTGGGAAAATCATACTTTGTATTCTTACTCTTTTGGTAGTTACCTAACTTACTGAGACTTAGATTATATTAATTTTTTTTTTTATCAGAATCTAAGTCTGCCTGCCAGGGCTAGTCTAAATTTTCACAAAATAGGGGAGTTTATTAGATTATAATTCTACACATAAAAGTAAAATCTAGAAAATTAAATGTTGAAATAAATCTAAGCAAGGCCCTATAAAGCAGAAGCAATATGGCTGTTTTTATTATTGTTTTCTACACAAAGACATAATAATTAAAGAATGACTGTAGCTCTGGCCAGTTTGGCTCAGCAGTTAGAGTGTGGGACTGCGGACCAAATAAGCTGGGTTCAGTTCCCGCTAAGGGCACATACCTCAGTTGCAGTTTGTCCCTGGCCCCAGTTGGGGTTGTTTGGGTGGCAACCACTCGATGTGTCTCTCTCACGTCAATGTTTCTCTCTCTCTCTCATCAATGTTTCTCTCTCTCTCTTTCCCTCCCTCATTCCCTCCCACTCTATCTCAAGATAAAAATGCAAAAATGTCCTCAGGTGAGGGGGAAAAAAAAAAGAATGACTGTATAAAACAGATTTTTTTTTTCTGTGTACTTTTTTGTGCTATTCATGATTTGTCACACTCCACTGTTTAGAATCCTACCAAGAAGGCAATGATTATTTGTAATGAACTAACATTTCAGAAAATAAAATGTTAAACTGATGCTGAGATGGGGGAAAGTCCTATTATGTGAACTGAAAGCAGTAGTAGCATTCTTGGAGTAGTAAAATTTTAGATTAAAGAATTCTCAAAATTATCTGTGTTGTAGAAAAGGATCTTGGATTCAGAAGTTTATGTCAGCTCAAAGGGACCATTAAGAACTGCTGCCCCCTCCCAATGCATTTCAGGGTAGAAGAAAGCGAGATGAGTATAATTATGAAAATAAGTCAGTGTTCCTAAAAATAAGTACAAAATAAATATGAAAATAAAAATAAATATGAAATTTATTTTAGGTATCTTCAACATCCATCATCGCACCTCGGTGGATTGTGCCAGTAAGTTAATATTTGCAATTTTTCTATTGGTTACCCTTTGAGAGTGAGGCCTAAAGGATTACCAGGTTCTTGTTTTTCCTTGAAAACAAGGGGTCATTATCAACGTTTGTTAACTGACTTAATGGCTTTAAACTAGCGATTTAACTTTTTTGTTGTTGTTGTTGTTTTTTTATCCTCACCCGAGGACATTTTTCGATATTTTGTTCAGACAGAGTGGGAGGGAGAGAGAAACACCGACGTGAAAGGGACACATCGAGTGGCTGCCACCCACACGACCCAACCAGGGCTGGGGACAAACTGCAACTGAGGTACATGCCCTTAGCGGGAACCAAACCCGGGTCTCTCTGGACCACAGGCCGACACTCCAACCGCTGAGCCAAACCGGCCAGGGCTAACTTTTCTGTTTGTATAAATGCTTACAAATGATAAAAAAATAAAAAATAAATAAAAATCTGAAGAGAAGGAAGATTAAAAGCAAACAGACCAAAACAGCCATGAGCATCAAAATCATCTTTCTTAGTGTCATAATCATTAGGAAAGATGACTTAGAGCTGAAGTGCTGACCCTTGGGAAGTATTGTCACTTCTGTTCACGCATGTTTATGTCTTCCTCAGCAGAGCAGTGTTCTTTCTAATGGACTCACAGGAAATGGACCATCCTTGGTAGGGAAGGAGGGACATGGTAACGGAGATGTGATCTCCATGATCTCTCCCCCAGCACCATTCTTGGTGGATGCTGTGACCAGGTGAGGAAATTTTGTCAGTTGCAATTTTTAGGCATCTGTTAGTAGAGGGAAAAAAATTAAATATATTTAAAGCAATAATGTCAATTCTTCTTTAATTGAACTTAATTGAAACTGGATAAATCTTTTCTCTGTTTATTATTTAAATTAGTGGGGTTTTCCTTATTTATTTATTTATTTTTTTAAATCTTTATTGTTGGATGTAAAATGTATTACAGATGTTCCACATTTTCCCCCCATTGACCCCCTCCTCCCCACTTCCGCCCCCCTCCCACCTTTTCCCACACTATTGTCTGTGTCCATTGGTTATGCATATAAGTTCTTTGGTTTATTTCTTCCCACCCCCCCAACCCCTTTCCCTTTGAGGTTTGTCAGTCTAGCAATGAGTTTGTGCATTTTAATCCCTTCACCTTTTTCACCCATTCCCCCAACCCCCCTCCCAACTGGCAACCAACAAAATGTTTTCTGTATCTATGAGAATGTTCCTGTTCTACCTGTTCATTTTGTTTGTAGATTCCATTGTTGATAGATATGTATTCATTGCCATTTTGTTTGTTCATACATTTTATCTTTTTCTTCAAAAAGACCCTTCATCATTTCATATAATAATGGTTTGGTAGTGATGAACTCCTTTAACTTTTTCTTGTCTGGGAAAGTTTTTATATGTCCATCGATTCTAAATGACAGCTTTGCAGGATAGAGTAATTTTGGTTGTAGGTTCTTGCTTTTCATCACTCTGAATATTTCTTGCCACTCCCTTCTGGCCTGCAAAGTTTCTTTTGAGAAATCAGCTGACAGTCTAATGGGAACTCCCTTGTAGGTAACTAGCTGCCTTTCTCTTGCTGCTTTTAAGATTCTCTCTTTGTCTTGAACCTTTTGCATTTTGATGATGATGTGTCTTGGTGTGGGCCTCTTGGGGTTCATCTTGTTTGGGACTCTCTGTGCTTCCTGGACTTGTATGTCCGTTTCCTTCACAAAGTTAGGAAAGTTTTCTGCCATTATTGTTTCAAACAGGTTTTCAATTTCTTGTTCTCTCTCTTCTCCTTCTGGCACCCCCAAGATGCGAATGTTGGCACACTGGAAGTTGTCCCAGAGGCTCCTTACACTCTCCTCATTTTTTTGGATTCTCTTTTCTTTTTGCTGTTCTGATTGGGCATTTTTTGCTTCCTTATATTCCAAATCAACGGTTTGCTCCTTGGATTTACGTACTCTATTATTGAAGCTGTGTAAATTATTCTTTATTTCAGTTAATGCCTCCTTCAATTCTAACTGTGTATCCATGATTTCTAACTGGTCCTTTTTTATGCTCTTGAGGCCCTCCCTAAGTTCACTGAGGTTCTCACTAAGTTCATTGAACATCCTTATAAGCAGTATTTTGAACTCAGCATCTGTTAGATTGCTTATCTCCATTTCGCTTAGTTCTTTTATTGGGGTTTTGTTCTGTTCTTTCATTTGGGACCTGTTTCTTTGTCTTCTCATTTTGGCTGCCTCCCTGTGTTTGTTTCTGTGTATTACTTAATGAGCTGTATGGGGCTAGCTGAGACCAGATGCTGCTCGTTTGAAGAATTTAGGAAAAACCTGAAGCAGGATCCAAGACAGGCCAATCCTATGGTTAAGCAAGTGGCAACAGCTTGGGTGGGCTTGAAAGTTGGGTGGGGCGGGGTGGGGCCTCAGGGAGTCAACAGGGCGGGGCTACCAGTGTGAGCCAGGTTGCTGGAGGCCCAGATATGGTGATTGCCTGCCGCCCCCGGGAAGGGCTCACCAAAAGAATAAAGGCCTCTTACAGCACGTTTGTCTCCGAGAAATCCCCCTCTCCAGCCCTCGCTCCAGTGCCAAACAGCTCAGTTCTTCCCTGTATTCTCTGGCGCCCGTGGAGCTGCCTCCCCTCCAAGCTTAGAGGGAGAGAGTCCGATAAGTCCGTGCGCGGGCCCTTTAAAGAGCTGCCTGGGGCTCCAGCTGCTTCAGCCTCCCTGAGCCTCAGTTCCTGCTGGTTTTTCCAGCCAGAAGTTATGGGGACTTCTCTTCCTGGCACTGCAACCCTGAGTGGGGCACCTGGTGTGGGACGGGGACCCCTCAGTCCTCAGGATGGACCTTCCCAGCCGAGGGAGCCTCCTGATTTTTATCCGTCACACGTGGGTGTGGGACCAGCCCGTCCCACTGCCCCACCCCTCGCGCCTCCACCCCTCGCGCCTCCACCCCTCGCGCCTCCACCCCTCGCGCCTCCACCCCTCGCGCCTCCACCCCTCGCGCCTCCACCCCTCGCGCCTCCACCCCTCGCGCCTCCACCCCTCGCGCCTCCACCCCTCGCGCCTCCACCCCTCGCGCCTCCACCCCTCGCGCCTCCACCCCTCGCGCCTCCACCCCTCCTACGAGTCTGGATGTAGCTGCTGCTTTAATTTCGTAGTTGTAGGACTTCCATTCAGCTTGATTTCAGGCGGTTTTGAATGATGTTCTGTAGTTTAGTTGTAACTTTGATGTGGTTGTGGGAGGACGCGATACCGCGTTTACCTACGCTGCCATCTTGACCGGAAGTCCATATGTTTTTTTTTTAAATGAAGACTTAATAGATAAAATATTAGATAAGCTTTTTTATTCACTCACCTACTGATGGGCACTTGGGTTGTTTCCAGATCTTAGCTATTATAAACAATGCTGCTATGAACATAGGGGTGCATATATTCTTTCTGATTGATGTTTTGGGATTCTTAGGATATATTCCTAGAAGTGGGATCACTGGGTCAAATGGCAGTTCCATTTTTAATTTTTTGAGGAAACTCCACACTGTTTTCCATAGTGGCTGCACCAGTCTGCATTCCCACCTTCACTAGTACTTCTTGTTTGATGATTTGTTGATGGCAGCCATTCTGGCAGGTGTGAGGTGATACCTCATTGTTGGTTTAATTTGCATCTCTCTGATGATTAGTGATATTGAGCATTTTTTCATATGCCTCTTGGCCAGTTGGATGGCCTCTTTGGAGAAGTGTCTGTTTAGGTCCTTTGCCCATTTTAATCGGATTACATATCTTGTCTTCCTTTTGCTGAGTTGTATGAGTTCTTTATGTATTTTGGAAATTAACTCCTTATCACATGTATCATTGACAAATATGTTCTCCCAAGTAGTAAGTTTCCTTTTTATTTTGAAGATGGTTTCTTTTGCTGTGCAGAAGCTTTTTAGTTTGATATAGTCCCATTTGTTTATTTTTTCCTTTATTTTTCTTGCCCTAGTAGATGTATGGGGTGAAAATTCTGTTACATGAGATGTCTGAGATTTTGTTGCCTATGTTTTCTTCTAGGATTTCTATGGTTTCATGACTTACATTTAAGTCTTTTATCCATTTTGAGTTTATTCTTTAAGTTGGTTTAAGTTGGTGGTCTAGTTTTATTTTTTTTGCACATACCTGTCCAATTTTCCCAATACCATTCATTGAAGAGACTGTCTTTACTCCAGTGTATGCTCTTGCCTATTTTGTTCAATATTAATTGAGTGTGATGGCTTGGATTGATTTCTTGGTACTCTGTTCTGTTCCATTGATCTATATGCCTGCTCTTATGCCAGTACCAGGCTGTTTTTATTATAGTGGCTTTTAGTATAACCTTATATCTGGTATTGTGATCCTTGCAACTTTGCTCTTCTTTTTCAAGATTGTTGTGACTATTCAGCGTCTTTTTGGTTCCATATAAATTTTTGCAGTATTTGTTCTAGATCTGTAAAATATGCCTTTGGTATTTTAATAGGGATTGCATTGAATCTATAGATTGCTTTGGGTATTATGGACAATTTAATGTTAATTCTTCTTATCCATGAACACAGTAAATGCTTCCACTTGTTTGTGTCTTCCTCTGTTTCTTTTTTCAATGCAATATTACACAGCTGTAAAAAAGAAGGACCACTTACCCTTTGAGACAGCACAGAGGGACCTGGAGATTATTACACTAAGCGAAATAAGCCAGACAGAGAATGAAAAATATCATATGATCTCATTTATATGCGGAATCTAATGAAAAAAATAAACTGACAGACAAAATAGATCCAGAGACATGGGAGTTTGGAATAGACTGATGAATCTCAGAAGGAAAGAGGGTTGGGGGCGGGAAGAGATTAACCAAAGAACTTCTGTGCATATATGCATTGCCCATGGACACAGACAATAGTGCAGTGAAGGCCTGGGGTGGGGTGGGAGGCAAGGAAGGAAAAAGAAACAGTAACATCTATAATACTCTCAGTAAGCAAGATACATTTAAAAATAAATAAAAGTCTTAAAAAGGATATTAGTGGGATAATTGGTAAAATTTGAATAAGATCTGTAGATTACATAATAAATATTTTATCAGTGTTAATTTCCTTATCTTGAGAATTATACTGTGATTATGTAAAAGAATGTTCTTGTTTTTAGGACATACACGTTCAACTATCTAGAGGTAAAAGGGTACCATATGTACAATATATATCCAATATATGAATGAAAGAGTTAAGGGGAGGGAAAGAACGAATACTAAGGCAAGCAGGCAACATGATAACATTTGGGAAATTGAGGGTGAAAGGTATATGGAAATGTTTAATACTATTTTTGCATTTTTCCAAAATCTGATATTTAGAACAAACAGAAAAGAATGTTCTTGGCACAAAAGAGTTTGTTTGAAATCTCTGAAAACAGTGGGTACAGAAAATGAAGGTGTTGCCTAAGGTCCCTTCCTTGGGTGCTGATCTGGGAGAAGTTTTTCCTCTCCTGTTGAAATTATATAAGGGTTTCCACCACTCTTTTTTGTTGTTGTTGTTAATCCTCACCTGAGGATATTTTTTCCACTGATTTTTTAGAGAGAGAGAGAGTGGAGGGGAGGGAGGTGGGAGGGAGGGAGGGAGAGAGAGAGAGAGAAACATCAATGCGAGAGAGACATCAGTTGGTGCCTCCTGCACCTGCCCAACTGGGAAGGGTGTTCGAACCTGCAACCCAGGTATGAACACTTGACCAGGAATTGAACCCACAACCCTTCCATGCATGGGC